TGATCCCATTCTCCCATTCTGGGAGACTAAAACAACATCACACACTAGATTTAGGGTATATTTTGGTCTGTTAGAGGAAACTGTATCCCAAATGATATGTCATTGTATTGCCTGTAAGGTGAGTGTTACTGTATATTGTCTCTGTTCCTTTCTGGTCTGTGTTACTTTTAGGCTGTTTCTTTGCTTAGAGGACCCCTTTCAACATTTCTTGTAGGGCTGCTTTGGTGTTTGCAAATTCTTTTGGTTTTTGTTTGTCCTGGAAGCTTTTTATCTCTCCTTCTATTTTCATTGACAGCCTAGGTGGAGTATAGTATTCTTGGCTGCATATTTTTCTCATTTAGTGCTCTGACTATATCATGCCAGTCCTTTCTGGCCTGCCAGATCTCTATGGATAGGTCTGCTGCCAGTTTAATGTTTCCAACATTGTAGGTTACAGACCTCTTGTCCTGCGCTGCTTTCAGGATTTTCTCTTTGTCTCTGAGACTTGTGAGTTTTACTGTTAGATGTTGGGGTATTGACCTATTTTTATTGATTTTGAGGGGGGCTCTCTGTGCCTCCTGGATTTTGATGACTGTTTCCTTCCCCAAATTAGGGAAATTCTCTGCTACAATTTACTCCAATATACCTTCTGTCCCTCTCTATCTTTCTTCTTCTTCTGGGATCCCAATTATTCTGATGTTGTTTTGTCTTATGGTATCACTTATCCCTTGAATTCTGCCCTTGTGATCCAGTAGTTGCTTTTTGTCAGCTTCTTTATTCTCCATCATTTGGTCTTCTGTATCACTAAATCTCTCTTCTGCCTCATTTATCCTAGCAGTTAGGGCCTCCATTTTTTATTGCACCTCATTAATAACCTTTTTTCATTTCAGCTTGGTTAGATTTTAGTTCTTTTATTTCTCCTGAAAGGGATTCTCTGATATATTCTATGCTTTTTTCAAGCCCAGCTAGTATCTTTATAATCGTCATTCTGAACTCTGGTTCTGACATCTTACTAATGTCTCTCTGTTGATTAGGTCCCTGGCAGTCGGTACTGCCTCTTGTTATTTTTTTTTGAGGTGAATTTTTGTGTCTTGTCATTTTGTCTAGAGGAGAATAGATGAATGAGAGAACAAAATGCTAACAGGGTAACAACGACCCCAGAAAAATATACACTAAACAAATCAGAAGAGACCTGAAACCGGGAGGGAAAGAAAGGGAAAGAAAAAGGAAAACAAAAAAAAAGAATATGATCAGGCTGGTGAATAGATCAGAGCCACACACTAGATTTGGGGCGTATTTTGGTCTGTTCAAAGAAACTGCCTCCCAAAATTTTAAAGAAGGAAAAACTTATATATATACAAAAATAAGGGTAAATACAATGAAGGAATGGAATATGACTTTAAAGATGAAAAATAAAAAAGGTTTTTAAAAAGGGATTGATAAGTTGTCTGAAAAAAGAATGAAAAACAATGAAAAAAAAGAATGTGATCAGGTGGGAGACTAAAACAACATCACACACTAGATTTAGGGTATATTTTGGTCTGTTAGAGGAAACTGTATCCCAAAATTTTAAAGAAAGAAAAATATAGGGTGCCTGGGTGGCTCAGATGGTTAAGCGTCTGCCTTCGGCTCAGGTCATGATCCCAGGGTCCTGGGATCGAGTCCCACATCAGGCTCCCTGCTCCTTGGGAGCCTGCTTCTCCCTCTGCTTCTCTCTCTCTCTCTCTCTCTCCTTCTGTCTCTCATGAATAAATAAATAAAATCTTTAAAAAAAAAAAAAAGAAAAATATATATACAAAGGGTTAAATACAATGACGAGATAGAATATGAGTGTAAAACTGAAAAATTAAAAAAGATTTAAGAAAGGAATTGGTAAGATGTTGGTTGAAAAAGGAGAAAAGAAAATTCAACTAAAAAAATAGAAAAAGAATAAAATAAAGAGAATTTTAAATTAACTTTGAAAGACTAAAGCATCATGGGAAAAAAGCCATGAATTCTATGTGCTCTATTCCCCTAGCGCTGGGATTTTGCCATTCTCATTGATCGGTAAACTTGGTCTTGGCTGGATGTTCTTGCTGATCTTCTGGGGGAGGGGCCTGTTGCAGTGATTCTCAGATGTCTTTGCCGGAGGTGGAATTGCACTGTCCTTGCCGCGGGCCACGCTAAGTAATCTGGGGTTTGCTCTCGGTAGCTTTTGTTCCCTGAAATCTTTCAGTAGTGCTTTGGAGGACGAGAGTGAAAATGGTGGCCTCCCAGTCTCTGCCCCGGAGCCGAGAACTTGGGGCCCCACCCCTCAGTGAGCCCTCAGAGAAAAGCAGTCACTCCCGTTTCCCAGTCTCTGGGCACAGTCCATGCTCACCTGGCCTGTGACCGAGTGTTTCTAGCTCTGGCACATGACTCCATTTGGAGTCTCCAAACCCAGCAGATCCCTGCGGTGCACTCCCACACTGCTCCTCCCGGGGGAGGAAGGGGAGTCTCCCTGGATCTGCCGCTTGTTGGGTCCCTGCTGGAAGAGCAATGGCCCGACTGTGCCGCTTATCACGGTTTATGGCAACCGTGAGCTGAGAGCCCACTCCTCGGCTCCGTCTGTGCAGCCAGCTTCCCTGCTCCGATACCTGGGAGCTCTGTCGCACTCAGGTACCGCTGGTCTTTCTGTGATCCCAAGGGTCCTGAGACCACATTGTCCCAGAGAGGGTTCCACCCCCTGCTTAGCCACTGGAGCAACATCCCTCAGCGGAGCAGTCTTGTAAAAGTTCTGATTTGTGCTCCACTGCTCTATCACTTGCGGGTAACCGGCTGACAGAGGCTCCCTCCCCCCACTGTCTGTCTTCCGAATATCGCCTCAGATTTACTTCTCCGCACATCCTACCTTCCAGAAACTAGTCACTTTTCTGTTTAGAGAGTTGCTGCTATTCTTTTCTTCGATCTCCTGTTGAGTTTGTAGGTGTTCAGAATGGTTTGATAATTATCTAGCTGAATTCCTGGGACCAGATGAAATTTGGGTCTCCTACTCTTCCAAAATCTTGCTCCTCCGCCATCTTGCTCCTCCCCAACAGGAACCCTCCCCTATCTTAGTAAATTTTCTCTCCATCCCATCTGGTTGCTCAAGCCAAGAATCCTTAATTCCTTCTTTTTCTTTCTTTTTTTAAAAGATTTTATTTCTTTTGAGAGAGAGAGAGAGCACAGGGTCGGGGGGCAGAGGGAGAGGAACAAGCAGACTCCCCACTGAGTGGGCAGCCTGGGATGCAGGGCTTGATCTCAGGACCCCGAGATCATGACCTAAGCCAGAGTCAAATGCTCAACCAAATGAGCCACCCAGGCGCCCCCTCTTCTTTTTCTTCACACCAAAGCAGCAGCAAATTTTATCGGACATACCTCCTGAAATATCCTTAATTTATCTTCTTCAGTCTTCAGCGTCACCACTTTACTCCAAGCCATCATCATCTTTTACGTGGATTATTAACAGTTATCTTCTAACTGGACTTTCTATTTCCATCTCCAATTTTCTGTAGATGACTTTGTTTTTAATACATTATAATCACTTTTCTGCTTAAAATCCTTCAGTGGTTTGCCATTACTTTTAAGATAACTAATACTCCTTAGTGCGCCTGGGTGGTGAAGTCTCTTGGGTGTCTCTTGGTTTTGGCTCCCATCATGATATCAGGGTTCTGGGATCGAGCCCCACATTAGGCTCCACACTCAGTGCACACACTCTATCTTTCTCTGTCTCAAATAAATAAATCTTAAAAAAAAGATAACTAAAACTCCTTTCATAAGACCTCATTGATCTGAGCTTGTCTACCCATTCAGCCTTCACCTCATGCCACTGTAATATGTTCATCAATTATTCTCCTCATGCCACTGTAATATGTTCATCAATTATTCTAAGTTTTTTCCTGCCTCAAAGACATTACTCCTGGTATTCTTCCCTCTCCCTCGATAGACTTCTCCCCTTGTTATCTTTTCAGTATCAGTTCATTCAGCACCATCTTTGCAAAGAAGCTCACCTTATCTCACTTGCTTTCTGAAGTAGCCAACTCCAGCCTTCCCTCAGTTAATCTTTCATGATTTATTATGTTGTACTATTACTCTGTAACATATTACTATCTGAAATTTTCTTGTTTTACTTATTTATTGTCTCTTCCCAGTAGCCCTTGAGGGCATGCTATAAATTCTCAAACTTGTTGAATAAGTAAAGTTCCAATAGTACTAGTTGATCTTTCTTCCTAGGTAGCTTAATAAGATTTTGATAATAAGCAGCATAGAGATGAATTCAAAGAACATAGTAGACTCAGTTTTTACTCTAACTAGTTGAGAAGTTCTAGGTAAAGCCCTTAATCTCTTCCTAATCTGTAAAACTGGGGAAAACACCATGTTTAAGGTGCTGGCTAATTCGTAGATTCTGTTTTCCTTTAATATGGAAAGATTTCACTTTACTAATTATTTTACATTCAGGATATTAATCAGTATTACTTGGCCTTTTGACATTGAGAAATTATTGGTAGTGGGGGGTGGTAGCTGCCTGAGATTAGTAAACATTTGTATTGTGTTAAAAATTTTTTTAACCATTTCTATTACTGAATTTGTATCAACCATAAACCCAGTCTCTCTGGACCTGTTTCCTCTTTTTACAGTATAATGATGGAGTAGGACTAGGCAATCTCTCCTAAATTTTAAGCTGTACAATTCAATGAGAATGGATTATATTTTTACTTTTTACAGAAGTTCTCATGGAATCATAGCCAAGTTGCCCAGCCTATTTCTGGATTGATAGGAAAACGAGTTGTACTGGGAAAAACAACAACAACAACAAAAAACCACTCAGATGTTTTTAAATTAAAATATGAACATTGCATTTGAAACTTTATAGCTACTTCCAAAATTTTCTTTTAAATAACTTTAGACATGAATTTACTTTGTGGGAGGATATTATTCTGTGGATGCTTTTCTGTTCACTCTAAGGTACATGGATAGACTTCAGTTTTTAAATCCCACCCTTTCTCTGTCTCATTATTAAATAGGAGGTACCATTGGCACAAACTGCACAGCCCACATCAGCTATTGTTCGTCCAGCATCATTACAAGTTCCCAATGTGCTGCTTACAAGTTCTGACTCAAGTGTGATTATTCAGCAAGCAGTACCTTCACCAACCTCAAGTACTGTAATCACCCAGGCACCATCCTCTAACAGGCCAATTGTGTAAGTGATGATTTGGGCCAGTCGTTGAACTGTTTATGAATTAGGCTTTTCTTGTCAGAATTTTTCTTCAGGCATTTAATTATTCAAATGTGGCCTTAGTTGTGTGTGTGTCTTTGTGTATGTGTGTATCATATTCTGCATGCTTTGAAAAGAACTTGTGTTGTTTTTTTTTCTTTATATTATAGATTAGAAAATAAATATCTAAAATTTAATTGGGGGGGGCAGAGGGAGAGAAGAGAGAATTAAGTGGGCTCCACACTCAGCATGATGCCTGACCTGAGGCTCGATCTCACAACCCTGAGATCATGACCTGAACCAAAATCTAAGAGCCACACGCTTAACCAACTGAGCCACCCAGGCACCTCAACTAAAATTTAATTTTAAACACAAATCAACACTGAATGTCAATTTAAGGTGGTTTCTTATTTTCATGCTGTTTCACACAAAATACGTAAAATTACTCCATCAGATGACATTTCTTTCAGTTCTTACACATCTCTCTCAAGCTTTTCTTTTTCTTAAGATTTTATTTTTAAGGAATTTCTACACCCAGGGTGGGGCTTAGGCTCATAACCCCATGATCAAGAGTTGCATGCTGCATAAACTGAGCCGGTCAGGTGCCCCTCAGGAGCTTCTGATAAAAATTTGTCTCATTTAACATTGGAGATTGTCCCAAGTAAAACCATAACTTTTCCTATTTTTTCCCCTTTTGTTTTTCCACACTGCTTTATACATTATGCATTTAGGATACAATTAAAGATAGTAAAATTTTGCAATTTGCTTTGCAGTGGCTAGGAAATGTATTTTAAAATGATATGATAATAGGAGTAAAAATACTCTTGTATTTTTAGAGATGACTAATAAAGATTTCTTATCTTTAACTTTCCTTCCTCTGTTTTTCTTAGTCCTGTACCAGGCCCATTTCCTCTTCTATTGCATCTTCCTAATGGACAGACCATGCCTGTTGCTATTCCTGCATCAATTACGAGTTCTAATGTGCATGTTCCAGCTGCAGTCCCAGTAAGTTTGAGATTCAGACTCTAAATCTTTTCTTCATAGCAAAACTGATCTTTGTAATCAGAAAATACACCTAGGGCTGCTTGATTGGTTTATGAAACTGAATCCAACAAAAAACTTATTAGTGGTTAGGTTAGTAGTATTTACTCATCTTTATAGTAGTATTTACTCATCTCTTTATTAAAATCAAACATAATTTGTTAGAAAATGTTTTTCCATCCTCCCCAAATTTTGTTTTCCTTGTATTGTTTAAATTAAGAAATTTAATCCTTATTTAATCCATTTCAATTTGACTAGATTGTAGAATTCAAATATTAACACAAATTTCCGTTATTTAGGGAGATATTTATACTAGAGCACATGTCCAGTAATTCCATATTCCGATTATTGTAGGAATTGTCGATAACACTCTTGTGAACTTGTATGGTCTGGTTGGGTTTACAGCATTCCTTTGCTTGCCCAGGCATGTGAAAATCTAAACACTCTAAACCAGTAGATAGTCCTTCACTTTGCTAATGCAAATGTCTCAGAAATTGACCATTTTGAAAGATAAATCAGGATATAAGTTCCAAAAGAGAAGTTTCTTGAGGAGCCTGTTAAGTATATAAATTTTGGAAGTCACAGACAAGTTAAATATCTACTTGTAATACTTAATAATTCAGTGAATATTTAAAAGCACGTTCTTTTGAATAAGTTAGAAACAATACTTTCTTTTCTCATTTTTCATAAAACAATTTTATTCAGACTCCTCAAATGTGTCTTCAGTGTTCAGGTTTTCCTCATTAGGATCACTTTTTAAAACATCTAGCACAATTTTCCAGAACATGTTATTTTATTCTCACCTGAGTAATTCTGCCATAACACTTTCGGAGTCTGTATCTTCCTAGAAATCTCACCCAAGCCCTAATACTCATTCATATAATAAAAAGACAGTTTCTTTTTTTTACCTTATAGATAGATATTTCTGATCTGTACAATATAATCATTTATTGTATAGCTCTTAAAAAAATTTTTTTTCAAAGATTTTACTTATTATTTGAGAGAGAGAGCGTGAGAGGGGGGAGGGTCAGAGGGAGAAGCAGACTCCCTGCTGAGCAGGGAGCCTGATGTAGGACTCGATCCCGGGACTCCAGGATCATGACCTGAGCCGAAGGCAGTTGCTTAACCAACTGAGCCACCCAGGCCCCCCTTAAAAATTATTTTTAAAAATCTACGTAAAATAACTTCCAATATTTTGATGAGATTAGAACCCCAGGAAAATTATTAAAATCAATGTGAAATATTTACTTTTTTCTTAACACATTATTCCAAGTAACCTAAGTATTGAAAATTAACATTGATTGGAATAATTATAAGATAATGTATCATCTTCAGACAGAACTTTGCTGTTCAAAATGCAATGAGTGACTTTATAAGGACTCAGATATTAGGTGACTACTTCCTCTTTTCTAGGATATTTTTGAAGGGGGAAACATTCTTGCCCTTGTATTTGAGATTATATGGTTATCCTGTTAAATGTAAATGTAATGAAAAAAACTGAAATGAAAGAGGAGAGATACTTTAGCTATATATTAATTACTCAATGTTAATATTGGGTTTTTTAAAAAATGAAAAAATCTGTTCCAGATTATTATTTTTAGAGAAATTATTAGAGGTAACTAGGTTCTTTCTTTGTCATCATTTAGTATATTAGTATATCAACGAACCTTTATTTATATATTTTAGAAATTGCATATATATGTGTATTTTAGAAAATTCATTGTGAAGTTACTTGTATGCCTAATTGTCACAAGTTTTGACATTTTTTTCCTTTCACATCCAAAATGGCAGTGTGACAGATCTTTGGGAAATTTTGGTCAATTACTTTGAATATTATGAGTCCTATAGAAGAAGAATCCATTTAAAAAAATGGTGAAAATTAAAGATTAGAGAAGCAAGTGTCTCAGAAATTGACAAGTTTTAAAGGATAAATCAGGACAGAAGATCAATAGGGATTTACAGTTTTCTGGTTCAGAACTCTCAAATTTTTATAGCCATTGTGCAGATATAGCACAATCATTTTGAATATATTTTCTAGCAATTACTTTTCAATATATTTTACATAGCTTGTTCGACCAGTCACCATGGTGCCTAGTGTTCCAGGAATTCCAGGTCCTTCCTCCCCTCAGCCAGTACAGTCAGAAGCAAAAATGGTAAGCAAGATTTAATTGTTCTGCACATTTCTTGAGCCTGTTTTGAATTAGTTTTTCCATTAAAAACTGCTTCAAATATACAGTATCACATTTTATAAAATTTTGGAATGTATCACACTATAGAAGAACCAGAAAATTTGGAGAAGTTTCCATTAGCGTAGTGACTTGTTAATGGTATTTTAAAATAAGACATGGATGGAACTGGAGGGTATTATGCTGAGCAAAATAAGTCAATCAGAGAAAGACATGTATCATATGACCTCACTGATATGAGGAATTCTTAATCTCAGGAAACAAACAGAGGGTTGCCGGAGTGGTGGGGGGGTGGGAGGGATGGGGTGGCTGGGTGATAGACATTGGGGAGGGTATGTGCTATGGTGAGCACTGTGAATTGTGTAAGACTTTTGAATCACAGACCTGTACCTCTGAAACAAATAATACATTGTGTGTTAAAAAAAAAAAAGATAGCAGGAGGGGGTGAAGAATGAAGAGGGGGAAATCGGAGGGGGAGATGAACCATGAGAGACGATGGACTCTGAGAAACAAACTGAGCGTTCTAGAGGGGTGGGGGTGGGGGGCATGGGTTAGCCTGGTGATGGGTATTAAAGAGGGCAAGTTCTTCATGGTGCGCTGGGTGTTATACACAAACAATGAATCATGGAACACTACATCAAAAACTAATGATGTATGGTGATTAACATAATAATAAAAAATAAATGGATGGATTTGGGAGTAAAGTTCTAGTTCTTGTCATTGGTTTGTCTGGTTTTTGGCTGTAGCTTTTGAAACAAAATCTCCTCCTGGTGGTGGCTAGGAATATTACAGCTGAAACTAGATGTAATCATGTGAAGGTAGTATAGATGGTTTTATAAACAGTGACACAAATTAGTAGACCAGTGTTAACAAGAATTCTGAAATCATATACAGGTGAGCAAATGTTACACATAATATATAAAGAAAAACTATTTGAGTTGTGTTTTGACATTAAGAAATTAGTGTTGTTTAAGGGATGAGGTATAGATTAGGAGTCAGCAGGCATGTGTTTTAATTTTAATCCTAACTCTGCTATTCACTACCCTTAATCAAGCCACTTTAACTTTGAGGAAACTCATTTTCCTTATCTGTAATATGAAAAGGTGAACTTTGATTTCTAGAGTTTCTCTTAGCTCAGACTCCATAAACGTGCTAAATTCCTTGGTAAAAAACCTAAAACTGCTTTTTTTTTTTTTTGGTCCTTAATCCATGTAATTCTTCCTTCTATAGCCTAACACACTTCATGGCTTCTTAACATCAGTTGATGATTGCATCCTTAGAAAATCAATAGATAGTTATTAAACAGTTGTTATTCAAGTTCTATGCTAGGCACTATACTAACCATAAATTTGTATGTGTAAAAACCATTATATATTGCAAAGCTTTAAGTTTTTTACCTTTGTTCTTCATTATAGCAAATCTGAAATTGGCGTGTGATGACTTTAACAATAAAACTTAACACATCATCTGAATGAACAGTGGCTGAGAAGTATAAAAATTAGCTGGTTGTTGATTGTGGGGAAAGAACTTTTGAAAACCCAAGAGGGAATTTTTTTTGCATAACAGCATGTTTAGCTCAAAGCTTTGGAAATATTAAGATGAATCCTCTTCACTTGATAGCAAAACTTCATTGGGAATGTTTTTTACACTTCCTACTTTAAACATACTGTACTAGTAAAAAATTCAGTTGTATACTGCATCTAAAAATACTTTTACATATTCAGTGGACTTTTTTTCCTAACAAATTAAATATTTGTTCTTTTTTTTTCTTTTTTTGTTTTTATTAACATATAATGTATTATTTGTTTCAGGGGTACAGGTCTGTGATTCATCAGTCTTACACAATTCACAGCGCTCACCATAGCACATACCCTTCCCAGTGTGATTTGTTCCTTTTGAATTAAAGAAATACTTTTGGCTATAAGAAGAGTAGGCCATATTTGTAGAAACTATTAAATTTAATACTTCCTTGAATAACTTTTTCTTTTAGGTCACCAGGAAATTAAGAATAATAAAAGTGTTTTGTATGCTTGTATATTAGAAAAAAATCAAAGCTATAACTTTAATAAATTTATGTATGGAAAACAAATTTATTAGAATTTTGCTAATGTAAAATAACCATATTTAGGTGATTGCCTATTTTAATTGGGGTAGTAAATAAGATTGTCCTGTTTTAATTAAATAAAAAGACTCAGAAATTAGTCTATTTCCTTTTTCTTCTTTCTAACTTTTCATTATGGAAAATCTCAAACATAGTAAACAAAGTAAACAGTTACGGTATAATGAACCCCCATGTACCCATCACCAGCTTCAATTATTAGCAATATATCTGCCATTGTTTTATCTATCCCTCAGACCGTTCCCTGCCCAATTCAGTTATTTTTTTAATAGACTCTTCTTAATGTAAAATTTATATACATTGAAATGAACCAATCTTAACTTTGATATAAGTGCATTAATGTAACTCACACCGCTCTCTTGGTATAGAATATTAACATCTACTCAGAAAGTTTGTTTCCCTCCCCAATCAGTATACCTTCCCAGTTCTGATCTTTGTCACCAGCAATTAGTTCTAGAATTTCATACAGATGGAATCAATATATATTCTTGTGTCCAGCCAACCTTATGTCTGTAAGATTTATCCATGTTGTTGAATATATCATAATTTGCTTCTTTTTATTGCTGAGTAATATTCCATTGTGCGAATATACCACAGTTTCTTTATCCATCCTCTTGTTGGTGGACACTTGAATTGTTTTCAGCGTTGAGGTTTGTGAACAAAGATACTATGCACATTTTTATATAACTCTTTTTGTGGGTGTTTATTTTCATTTGGTCTATCTACTGAAGAGTAGAATTGCTGAGTAAGAGGGTAGTTATACATTTAACTTTGTAAGAAAGTGCCAGATCCTTTGACAGAGGTTTGCATCCTCACAAGCAGAGTATGGGAATTCCAGTTGTTCCACATTTTTGCCAACATTTGGTTTTGTCTATCATTTTCATTATAGACATTTCTAAGAGTTTGTAGCACTATCTCATGGTTTTAATTGCATTTCTGGTTTTGCCACTTTTTGTGATATCTTCTGATTTTTTTAATTGGGTTGTTTATTATGTTATAGGAATTCTTTAGATATAATAAATACAAAATTTTTGTTACATATATCTTACAAATATTTTCTTTTAGTCTGTAGCTTACCTTTATTTTTCTTAATGGTATACTTGTACTATCATTGATTGCTACTTTTATCTCTAATACTTCCTATCTCCTAGTTAATTGGGTTTAATTTGCCTATTTTTTTCAGCTTAAAGTGGAAGCTTGGATTATTGATTAAATCTTTTTTTTTTTTTTAAGATTTTATTTATTTGACAGAGACACAGCGAGAGAGGGAACAGAAGCAGGGGGAGTGGGAGAGGGAGAAGCAGGCCTCCTGCCGAGCAGGGAGCCCGATATGGGGCTTGAACCCAGGACCCTGGGATCATGACCCGAGCCGAAGGCAGACGCTTGACGACTGAGCCACCCAGGCGCCCCATGATTAAATCTTTTTACCTTTCCCATATAGGCATTTAAAGCTATAAATTTCTTTCTGTTCACAAATTTTGATACGCTGTATTTTCATTATCATTTATCTTCTAATTTCCTTTGTGATTTTTTTTCTTTGAGCTTTGAGTTATTTAGAAGTATACTGTATAATTTCCAAATATCTGGAGGCTTTCTTTTTATCTTATTGATTTCTATTTTAATTACATTGTGGTTTGGGAACTTACCACCTTTGGTGTACTTGATTGTCCTGTGTTTCCATTTTCTAAAAGCTTTTTTTTTTTTTTTTTTAAAGATTTTATTTATTTATTCATGAGAGACAGAGGGAGAGAGAAAGAGGGAGAGAGAGAGAGAGAGAGAGAAGCAGAGGGAGAAGCAGGCTCCCAAGGAGCAGGGAGCCTGATGCGGGACTCGATCCCAGGACCCTGGGATCATGACCTGAGCCGAAGGCAGACGCTTAACCATCTGAGCCACCCAGGCGCCCCTGTGTTTCCATTTTCTAATATATCTTACCTGTTGGGCTCATTTGTGAAAATAGACATTGCCATTCTATCCAGGTAACATGAACTGCTAACAAAATATCAATTGCCTGGAATGCTAAGGGAATTCTGATTAATTGGATTTTTTGGTTGTTACAGTACAGAAATTATTTCACATTTCACCATTGGTTTCATATATATACATATACACATATATATTCATATATATATACACACACACACATATATAATTTTTTTTAAGATTTTATTTATTTGACAGAGAGACACAGCAAGAGAGGAAACACAAGCAGGGGGAAGTGGGAGAGGGAGAAGAAGGCTTCCCGCTGAGCAGGGAGCCCGATGCGGGGCTCGATCCCAGGTCCCTGGGATCATAACCTGAGCCAAAGGCAGACGCTTAACCAACTGAGCCACCCTGGCAACCCCCCACTTTTTTTTTTTTTTTTAAGTATTTGACAGAGCACAAGCAGGGAGAGCAGCAGGCAGAAGGAAAAGGAGAAGCAGGCCCCCTGCTGAGCAGGGAGCCTGACCGGGGCTTGATCGCAGGACCCTGGGATCATGACCTGAGCCTAAGGCAGATGCTTGACCGACCGAGCCGCCCAGGTGCCCCTGGATTTATATTTTTATCAAATATTACTAGTCTGTTTTCCCTATCTTAATAACATAAAATGAACATTGTTGACTATCTCTTTAAGAATTTTCAGTCCTTGCATGTCATCTTCAACTGTACTTACATATTGTTGTAAGTACAAAACCAGTCTACCAACATTAGGAAATAACCTGAAAATAATTTGGTTTTTGTAGTTTGATTCATCTTCATGTATTTTGCCCCACCCTCATTTCACACTTATTTCTTTCGATTGTTATTTATTTAACAAACATTTCTCAGGTACTAAGAAAGTCAGTAGTTAGGGTCTTAAGTCTTGAGATTT